TCCCAACACTGCACTGACTATATGATATACATGGCCCACACTGAGTTGTGACCAGTGTTACCACTGTGAACACAAGCTCTGCCTGACAACATCATGTCCAGCTCTATATACTTCTTTCTATTTCTATGAACAACTCAGAATCCTTTGCATTTATTACCATGGTACTCCAATGAAGACCAAAAACATGCATGAGAACTAAAACTCTCTGTACAAACTTTAACTGCAAACATACTGACAGTTGCTTCAACAATTTTATGGAAGTGTTCAACTTTCAGGCAGTTTTTCTAGAACTACAGTTCTAGACATCTCAATCATGTGCTGCATTTTACATCTTTGTGCAACACAGGAATGATAGAATACTTCCAAGTATCTGAGAAACTACTATCTTCAAGAGGACAAGATGAAATCTACAAAATCAAGCAAGATATCCTGTTAGCTTTAGTCTTAAGGAAACAGGTGTAGGAGACAGAAATGTGATCCTTCCTCTACAAGAGTATCCATCACAGTACTGTAGACTCGACTACAGTACTCTGGATTGTATTCTAGACTGGAAAGCCTAGACTGCCTATGAAATTTTTAAAGGGCTCACATAGACATGACTTGAAGAATTTTACTCCCTGAGCCTAAATAAACATAAATAAACATCACCACACCATAATAAACATCACCACAAATAAAACCATAAATAAACATCACCACAATGTGACAGATAGTTGCCAGCCACAAGACAAACAGGAACCCAGATTTGTTTGAAAAAGGTATGTAAGAGGATCAGACTTTCAACCAGTACGTAAGCTCCACAGCGGCAGCTGAATCAAGTGTGGAAAAAATGCCAAGTAACAGTGATCAGCAGGATGTCCTAAAGTGGACTTACTCTTGATCTTCAAGCAGAGATTATAGAAGGCAGCAGGAATTGATGAAGTCTTCAAGTGCAGAGCACCTGTCTCCTTGTACTAAAGGCAAAAGTATTACCAGAGTTTCACACCTCATACACAAGTCTATGAATGTGAAATACCGTCCCAGACTAGCTCTCTAAGCACATCCTGCCTCACTTTCTAGACAGAACAAGCATTTGCTAAACTGAAAATTAAATCCATACATAAGCATTATTGGTTGTTCAAACACAGTGAAAGAGACAAGAAATCCAGCCCAATTCATGAGCAGGTTCTCTTTTAAAGAAAAAAAAACTTGTTAATTTTATGAGCATACTATTATTTTAATAAGAGAACAGTACGGGAGCTTTGAAGCCAAGAAAACAAATACTTTTCCAAATTTAAGACATGTGAGTTAGCTGTTTTCTGAAATTAAGGAGTCTATATTCCATGAGTTTCAGTTTGGCTAACAATGCCACTAGCACAATTGAAACTGAGAGATTATTCTACAATGTGAAAATTAAGCATTAATCTTCCACATATACAATTGAAATTGTACTGCGGACAGTGGGAATTAAATTCAGTACTTTTTTTTTTTTTTAAGGAGACTACAGTCACATTTTACCTATATTCAACTTTCAGAAAAGTAGGTCTAGAAAATATTTACCATACTACGGTATCTCTTACTTTTTAAGTGCTACCTATTACTGTTTCTTGTATTTTTTCAAAAGCTGCTAAATCCATCTATCTTGTGCAAGCAGAAAGCATGGGCTCTTTAAAGTGCTTGACCGGGGCAGCTCCAGCAATTAAATTTCATCCCATTTTATCCTCTTCCCTAACATCTTGAGTATTTTTAGCTTATTTTTTGTAACCGTAACACGCTTAACATTAGATTACATAAAAGGTTATCATTATATGACAAATGTTATCTCTCTTGCCTTTAATATGTAGAAGCACTTAAATTAAAGAGCTATCTGAAGCGGCTGACTGGAATTCAGTTATGTGGCTCTCTTGAGACCAGGGTCTCCTACCTATTGTACAAGCAAAATCAACTTACGCGGTAGTTTTGCAGTTTGTATTGATATATATCTGCATTAGTCAAAAGCACGTAAGAGTTAACACAGACTCTAAAATATCTAGGCACAATGACTCATTCCTGACAGATTCTCTGGTTAGCAAGTGAAGACAAAGTGACGTTCATGACCCACTTATCAGATGCTGTTGTCAGTGGGATTTTCACATGAAGAGAGACTCTTGTTCAGCACGCTTTAGAATTTTCAATACTACCAACATTTAATTTATTTACCTTTGGTAAAACAGCACAACAGCAATCAGCTATTTTAATTCTTACAGATAACACCTGAAATAGTTTTCCACCAATAGAGAAAGCAGACTTCACTTCAGCTACTAATGCCACTCCAACAGAAAGTTCTGCCCATGAAGTGCATGCTTGGAGATGACCATCAGCTTTTTACCTTATTCACAAGTAAATCCCTAGGTAAAAATCAATAAAATAATCAGGACTTGGACTTCAAACTTCATGAAATTAGTAAATGAACTCCAGGGTGCCTCCTTCCCCTCAAACAGGTTCTCCAGAGGAAAAAACAAGGAAGGGCTTCAAGTTCAACTCCTCTCAGTCCTAAAGTGTGCAGACAGCTTCAAGGAAATGGGGCACTTTCACCTCTAGTGGGAGGTGCGCCTGCCCATGGCAGGGAGGGTGGAATGAGGTGCCTATTAATGTACCATCCAACTGAAACCATTCTGCTATTCTACGATAAAGAAAGTGCATGTCCGTGTTGCAGATGTGATCACAGAGTGAGTACTAAATAATAGGGTGGGAGACAACTTGGCTTAAATTCATCAGATGCCAATGAGTATTTGGGTCAAGATGACAGTGGCTGGCCATGATCTCTCTGTATTTTAACACATGGCACTGGCAACCCAGTGATCCTGGCAGGAGTAACTCTGCCTTTCAGGACGGGACTGTGTTTCTAACTGGGCACAGCTGCAGAGATCACACTTCACACACAGCCCCACCAGATACCCTTTGGAGCAAACAAGTTCATCTCTGTCCCAGTGAGCTGTGGGCTTTGGTTACTTCCTTGCCCACGAATGGCAGTGGCCATGAAGTGAAACGCAGTCTTTGACATTGAGCTTGCAGGATGGAACCATTCCAAGCCAAGAATAGGACTGGATTGGCCCATGTGTGTTGCCACAAACTCCATTCTGTTTGCAAACTAGAAGGCACAGAGTGGTGTAGACACAAGCCATTACAGACCTTGGTGATACCGTAAGTGTAGAAGTGTACTTCCTTCTGCACTACCCTAATCTTATTTAAAGATACTCACCAAGTAACTAGCACTCATGACAGTTCATTTAAGAAAGACAAAAAAATATTACATTTTAACAGAAGAATTAAACCAATAAAAGTCTGAAATTCATGCCATATGAATTTCACAGAACCTGGTAACAATCCCTGTTCAGAATTTAGAAGGAAAAGAAAAATTTGCTTTTCAAAACTCTCTGAAGAAAATCTGAAAATAACTAAGAACAGGACTGAAAGTCAAGAGCTTTCTCCCAAGCATCTATAAACACAAGGTGATCTTGCTCCAGGCTACTTAAATCAGAAACAGTGCTCCCAATGAAGCTGCAAGGTCAGACACTGTACTTCTCAATGTCACTTATAATCCTAAAACCTTTTGGAATAAGACTGATGCAGCATTTTGCTGGCAGTTGAAAGTGTATCTCAAAGCTGAGGATCTGCTCTCTGATAAAGTAGAAAACTATTTATCTCCAGTAATTTCAACACTGGAGCTCTTTACTACTGAGGATGTAATTTAAATTCAGTATCCTTCTCAGGCATCACTTCATGCTATAAAGGAAACATCCTTGAAACAAGAGGTCTACAATTAAGTCCAGTTCCATTCCCAGGTATGAAATATTTTGAAACTATGTAGCAGCAACGGTGTGCTTCTGGCATACAGAACATCAGACCCATCATGTAAGGAAGTGGACAATTTGAACACTGATCATGAGGTCCTTAAGGGCTATTTCTGTGGGCCTGAAGTAGCAGCATTTGAGGTTATTCCTAAGCAACTTGGATAAGGAGGTTAAACATGCTGAACATGTGAGATATAAAAGACAGAGAAAAACCATCTTTGAATAGCCATCCAACTAACTGATGAAGTACCAGTTACATCTTTCCACTTCCAGAACACGAGGTCAGGAAACACCTAAGGAAGGGACCTTTTGTTTCAAAGCATTGAAGCCATTACCTATAAATAAAACATGCTTGTTTTCCCCATCAACCAGATTTCACCTGAAGACAGCAAGCTGTGGCATCAGCCCTATCTGGCTTCTCTGGCATCCCCAAGAACATTCAGTCATCTTCACACTGAAGAGCAAAGATTGCTTGAAGGTTTGGTCAGGCCAGATCAACTAAAAGCAGTGATTTCAGTATCTCAGATTACCATGCTGAAGGAGGGTGCTTCAAAGATTTACCCACTCCACTACGTAATGTCTTAAGAACAAGCCATCTGCTGTGGGAAGATGTGTGGGTTATTCAGAGCCATAAGGGAAACCAACCACACTCAGCCAACAGAAGTCAGCCAGAGACTGCTCAATAAGAAGGAAGCCAAAAAACATAAAGGGTTAAACTGATACAAGTGTGCTAAAGAAACTGTTCCAGGACTGCAATTCAAAAGCAGCTTAACCTGTGAAGTAAGATAATCTGCCGCTTTTCCAAGGTACAAGCTTCATTACCTGCATCCCTGAAAAGAAGCAGCTTTGCATCAACAAGCACCGAAGTCTAGCTTCAATGAGGCTGAATTACAATTCAAGGAAACTTTGTATAAATATCTGCCTTTCCAGACATGAATCTACTTTCCTAGTACCCTGAAGTCCAGGTTTAAACGTGCTGTTAGCATTTATAGCACTCAAAGTAACCCAAATTAAATGCAAATAAATATGCTTAATTTTGGGGCATATAACTAAAAAACAATAAGTTCCTTCTGACTAGCATTGGTTCATTCTGCCTTTATTCTATTACTTAGGAGAATTGCAAAATACCATCTGAGAGTTTGCCGCTTGGAAAAATGAAAAGATATAGAAAACTCCAAACCAACATACCTGTTATTTTGTCCCTGACAAGCTTGCAGGATTCTATCTCCCCAATGCTGCCAAAAAGACTCTTCAGTTCCTCTTGTGTCATGTTTTGTGGAAGGTAGTTGACTATTAAATTGGTCTTGCTGTCTTCTGTGTTCCCAGAATCAACTGGTGACGAGCAATTGTTTATGGTGGCTGAACCATGGGCTGTGTTATTACAAGTTGGTCCATTAGACAGTTGTGTTTCCATGGCAGCAATTACCTGCTGAAAAGAACAGATAACAAGAACCATCAAAATTCATATTTCAGTATCTAGTAGGAGAGTCCAAACAAGAACCTAAAAGACCTGTCACTATGCAGAAATGGTATTGCCAAGGCCACATACTGCCTCTACATGCAAGAAAAAACCCAAACACCAGTACAGAAGGGCGTTAAACTGTTAGTCAAGTCAATACTTTAAAACCTTGTAACAAATAAACTGTATGTTCTACAAGTTCACTAAATGAAATCAGCACTCAAAGCTTAGTTTCCATTCTCTGCCATTCCTCCAATTTAGGGGAATCACAGCCTATTACAGAAGTTGCCAAACGAAACTGCCCTGTTGCAAGAGTAATCATTTCTGTTAACTTACAACTGGTTACTGAAATAACATGAAATGTAGTTTTTAATGAAGCAGTATTTGAATATTTACAAAAAGAGGTGGGCATTAAATGTATCCAAAGAGTACTTCTCATAAGAAATAGCAGAGATCAAGATTAGTATTTTAAAGAGGTATTTACAGGATATATTAATTAGCTGGGATGGAAAATATACTCTTTTACAACATCCATGTCAAATTTTTTTCACCACAGGTTGGAATCAGGCTTCTAGATGATTTTACTGGACTGACATTTTCTTACTATTTCTTCCCTCACCTGAACTCTGTGAAGAGTTAAATTTGAATCTTGATCTTAAGGTACTTTTGGACCACTCCAGAATACTCTGTGCCTGGGAGACTACAGAACTGATCCTCCTAGAACCTGTGCCAAGGCAGATGGTGAACAGGAAGTGATCTGAGACAGCCAACATGGCTTCACCAAGGACAAGTCCTGTCAGACCAACTAAGTGGCCTTTCTGTGATGAAGTGACTCCATCAGTGGACAAGGAAAGGGCTACAGATGTTATCTATCCAGACTTATGTAAAGCCTTTGACACAATCCCCTACAATCACAATCTCACGTCTTTATCTCTAAAATGGATAAGAAAGGGATTCGACGGTTGCATCCAGAGGTGGCAGTCAATAGCTCAGTCTTCACAGACATCAGTGACAAGCGGTGTCCCTCAGGGGTCCACACTGAGACCACTGCTATTCAATTTCTTCACTAATAACACAGACAAATTGATCAGGAGCACCCCCTGCAAGTTTGCCGATGACCCCAAGGTAAGTGGTGCTGCTGACACTCCTGAAGTTCAGGATGTCATCCAGGGGGACCTGGACAGGCTTGAAAAATGGGACCATGGAAATCTCATGAGATTTAAAAAGACCATGTTCAAGGCACTTGCACATGGGTCGGGACACTCCCAGTACCAGCACAGGCTGGGGGATGAACGGATGGGAAGCAGCCCTGTGAGAAGGACTGGGGGGTGCTGCTGGACATGACCTGGCCATGAGCACTCCCAGCCCAGAAAGCCAAATGTGTCCTGGGCTGCATCTAAAGCAGCGTGGGCAGCAGGGGCTTCTGCTCCACCTGGAAACCTGCATCCAGCTCTGGGGTCCCAGCACAGGAAGGACATGGGCCTGTTGGAGTGAGTTCATAGGAGGGCCTGGATTAGAGGGACGGAGCACATCTCCTTTGACAAAACGCTGGGAGAATCAGGTTTGTTCAGCCTAGAAAAGACGTGACTTTGTAGTAGCCTAATTGTGGCCTTTTAGTACCTGAAGGGATTTTACAAGAAAGAGGGAAAGAGACATTTTTGAAGAGCATGTAGTGACAGGAAAAAGGGGAACATCTTCAAATTGAAAGAGAGTAGGTTTTGATTACATATTAGGAAGAAATTTTTTACCATGAGGGTGGTAAGGCACTTGCTCAGCGAGACTGTGGATGCCCCATCCCTCAAAATGTTCAAGGTCAGGTGGGATGGAGCTTAGAGCAACCTAATGTAGTGGAAGGTGTCTCTGATCATGGCAAGTGTATTAGAGACAGACAATCTCCAAGTACTTTCAACTCAAACCAGTCTGATTCTACTGTGTCTCACCCCAAAGTCACTGATTGTTTGACTGCAAAATGCAACATAAATAATTAGGAGGAGTCTGCTTGTACACAAGCACTTGTTCACAAACTGCCACATGTAAAAAAGACACTCTGCCGCCTCAGTCAGTGACTGAATGGCAACAGCTGGTAAATGCAATGGATTTTTAATGGCATCTTAGTATCCAAGATTCAGGCAGCCTACCCTGTTTGGGACAACATGCAAGAGAAAATTATGTACATTAACTCTCCAGTAATACATATTTCAACACAAGAAGTTCACTAAAGAAATCCACCAATCACTGAAATTTAGCCTGATAATTAAACTGCTAAGAGGAGCTCTCACAAAAAAAGCCTCTTGTAAAATCACAGAGCAGCATCAGGATCTCTGATGTATCTGTCCTAACAGTTCTGTTTAAAGCACCATAGGCAATCAGTGCGTATCCAAACAGCTACCGAGGTGAACTGTGTTCAGGGACTGCTGAATAACTCAATTTCCTAACAATATGAGAGGGGGTAAGTTGAGTTTCTTACTAGAAGTTCAACTTTTATATTCCTGGGAACACATTTCTGTGTTCTGTGTTTTGCATACAGAAGTATTTTCCAAGAGGTTATTTCAGCACAATGCAAAAAAAAGGGATACATCTATTAAGAGCACTCACTAGAAAAGCGTGATCTTGTTTCCCTGAAGAGCTGCAATGAGAACAACATTTTCTTCCCTTGTGACAAACTCCAAGGAGCAACCTGCTTCTGACACCGATGAAACAAGTCCACTGAAAAGATGATAAAGTAGATTATCCCAATTCAGGATAATTTACTTTTCAAAACACTAGCATACCTGTTAAAGGTAGTAGTCACAAATGCTGTGTTCTGAGGCTCTGTAAGATTGCCTTTTTCCTTTATTTGTGCTTTATTCTCAAATTTGAAGTGTTCATTTATCAAAATTAGCAGGATTTAGCAAGGACAACAAACCATTCTCTCTTAATTGCACATTTATTTTCACATTCAGGTGGCAAGTATGGGATCCTAAGCCAACATTCAAGTGAACAGCTGCAGTAGCCTGTGTGTGCTGAAAATTACAGCATCTCTCAGCTACAGAACCATCTGCTCTGAATGAAGTGATACTAATATGTTTTACAAATAATGCATACCCCACTAATAGGCTAAAGAGAACTGTTCATAAAAGACAAAGCACTAAATAGTTTTCACTCAGAAAAATAGTTTGAGATAAATTCACAGTTTAAAAGAATCTTAGAATAGACTGGAAAATATAATTTTAAAATAGTAATCATAAAAACACAACTATACAGGTTTTCAAAGTTACTGCAAATTAGTATTCAGACCATACCAAAACCATTTTAGTACAATACTCCTCTTCAATTATCCACCGTGTATTTTAATTAGTACTAAAATCTAATTGACAATAAAAGAAAGGCAAGCTACTGCAGTGTAACTTGTACAGGAGATCACCATTTTACAGAAAAAGTTGTCTTGTTATGACAGTGTGCTCTAGGCTCTCACAGAATAGGAACACACCCTACAGCCTATAATAAAACATATATGTGAGTTAGCATTCCAAATAGAAGGTTAAAAGACTTTGGTATGGCCTCAGCACTATTAACATGTAAAAAGTAGCCTACAGAATTTAAGAAAAGTCCCACAGACCCCAGTCCAAGGCTCTGCTGCCCACGAACCACTTCTAAGCAGAGAAGCCACATCACACAGTCTGACTGCCATGTTAGTTTGGAGTTGCCGTCTGCAATATGGACACAAAAAGTACTGTATGTTAGATTAGCAAGATAATGCAACAAATCAGTTTGTACAAATTTACAGTAATTGCATTTATATTCCCAGAACGTCCATGCAGTGTGGTTTAATTGGATTTGAGGCAATTCCAATCTAATCTTAACAAATTCAGTTGTAAAATTATTTTTCTTATGTGAAATAAGATGCTTATTTTTAAGAAGACTTAGAAGATAATGCAGTCTAGTTACCCCTGCATCTACCCTGAAAACTACCTTCAGTACCACACCATGCCTAAAAGAAACTGTATCACAAAACAAATGTTTAAACCTTCAAGACTGAAGAGGAAAGTAAGGAAATACAGTGAGTTTATTTTCTACCAGCACATAAGATGATCATGCACTACAGCTCCCTTTACAAGTCTTTCCCAGCCCACAGGAAAAAAAAATACACAAAGATGACAAAGTACTATGTTAGAATTAATTCCATTTTGAAAATCCTAGGTTTTAAAAATTAGGTAAATGAAAATCTTGTGCAGATGGTATCCACTAAGCTTCCTTGCAACAGCTGTTTAAAAGTACCACTGCACATACAAGTGGCAGTAGAGTCAAGGATTTACCAAGTGGAATAACTGGAACAAAACATTCAAGTGCTTTTCATTAGAGTATTTTGGTAACCAAGAATATTGTTCTTTGTTTTAACTAAAACATCACTGAAAATCCAGTCAGAATTACATTGAACAATGCTTGGAGGATACCACAAAAGCTAAGAGGCTGTTTGCAGATGATTACAGGTAGTCCAGATGTGAAATACAACCACAACAGGAATAAACAAAAAGGCTCCTGACCACTGCCACAGCTTGAGACTGCTGCTAGTAAAGAGGTCCTGCACACAGTTAGCAGATGAGGTAAGTCTAAACTTGATAAAAAAAGGACTTACGTTTCAGAAGGCTGCTGCATTTAGGGTTTGAAAAGATGTACTTCAAAACTTTTTCCATTTTAAAATGGTGCAAGTTACTGTTCATGTCAGTTTGCTACCAAAATCCATATGCTTAGCTGACTTCATGTCTGGTCTTTATTTCTAACTTAGGTTAATTATGACCTTCAATCGCCTTTTTATGCAAAATACTGAGGCTTTGGTATCAAGTGCAAGTCTGCATGCCATTCTTTGTGGTCTCAACCCAAAACTAACACTAACAACTTCTCAAGCTCTCAACTGTTCATAGGCAAATATGTTTGATGAACTGCTTACTACATGAATAAAATCTGGAGGTCTCAACTGACTTCTTTGAAGTCCAGACAAGCATTATTAAGAAGACTGCTTTAAAATAGCAGTCTCCAACATTCTTGTCCTACAGATTATAGTGATGTGCACAAAATGATGAATTTGGATCTCTATGGCTCTCAGCAAAGCAGTGTGACCCCACAGACTGTTTGCTGTGAACCACAAGCTGTAGACAGAAAACTTCAATAGAACAGCTTACTTGCTTGTAAGGACTTCAGTGTACTAACTGGAGACTTCACTGTACTCTTAAGCACTGCAGCATTTCTCAAAAAAAAGCCAAAAGCACCTGTCAGTTGAAGTATTTCCAGCCTGCCTAACACATTTATCTTCACTGAAGCATTCTATACAGTATTTGCAATCAGTGTGCAAGTCAGTTCTCTGATTAAGAAAAACCATTATGTCTCAAAAACTTATTTTGCTCTACCAGTTCTTCTACCATTTTTATTACTTTCACGGCTGTACAGATTGCTCTCTTACATCTAGTTTGGAAAACTGGCATTCTTACCATTTAATTTTCACTTCTATCTGACCTAAAAACAGTATTAAATATGGCTAATTACATTCTAGAAAAAAAAAAGAAAGTTTTCTGGAATGAGTTTTCAGCTTTAACACTGTACTAAACCAGCAGATTAACACAGAATTTGAGCTGTGAGTTTTCTTCCACTCTCCCCCCAAAAATCCAAACATTTTTTAAAATATTGAACTACTGAAGAATCCCCAGTATCATAAAAAAAAGCTGATTCATTTTGTGACTATTAGCCTCAGTGACAGTATTACACTTCAGGTTATTAAAATAGCTTAGAAATTACTAGATTCAGAACTTATAAAACCATTATGTTCAAGAACAGGGTTCTATACCTACTGAGGAAAAGTCTGTCTTAAAATACATTCAGATTAAGAGGAGAACAATAAAGCCAAGTTGACTGAGTAAATCTGCTCTCTTTCTAATGCTGAAAGGAAGCAGAACTAAAGACACAGTTGCTCAGTTCAACAAATTGAGCGGTTCTCTCTAATATGCAGTGCATGGCAGCCATCTATCTTTCTATAAACTTACTTTTTTTCATCAAGCACAGATAAGATTTTAAACCCAAACACTCTTAAACACTGTTTATGGCATTAACTGAATGCCAGTTTCTAATTAGCTGCAGTTCACGCAAGTCATGAGTAAGGTTTGCCAAAGCAGAGAAGCAAGTAGGCTTTTTTGTTTTTCAAGAGAAAAGACATCAGAAGTTCAAAAGCCATACAGTTTATGCAATTAGTTCTGGTTGCCATAGAACAGTTCCAATTATAACAGCAGATTTTTATATGAGTGCTTTAGAAAATATAGTGGAGCTAGCAAGATGAAGACTGGCTAAACAAAAGTCACAGTGTCCTACTAACTCTGCTTTCAAACATGGGTATTTTGGTGTGCAGTGTACTCAACTATTCATGCTCAGCAGAAAATGCAAGCTGAGGCTGGATCCCAGCAGTGCTGAGACAGAGCCAAGTAGGTGACAAAACAGGTAAGCCTTCAACCACCATTAGCACCTCATATGTAGATGCTAGGGAGAAACGTTTAATGCATCAGACTTCTGACTAAAGTCTTTCTATCACCTGTTTCAACTCATACTTGCACATTCTGGTTATTGCTGGGTGGAAAATCATTTCACATAGGTTTTATATACATAATTTACTCATATTTACAGACACACTAAAAAGAATCACTGCACAGATGCCTGCTGCAATTACATGATCTACTTCTAAACAGTATTATCACATAAAGGTGATTACACAGTGAATTTAAGGCAGCAGATACTAAACACATCTGCTTACTTCAATTATGTTATCACTTCACTGTTCAGAGGCAACCCAAGCTGGACTATGAGATGCCTCCAGCCTCAAAGTTCACAGCTGATACAAAGCCCTTGGTAAAGTCCTAAGAGATGTAAACGTGCTCCTGAAGATTCTCCTGAGGCTTACATACCACAAAACCTTCAGAGCATGCCTTAATATTTTGTGTTTGGCCTTCCATCCTGTTTTCCAGTGTAAGGGAAGCATGCAATAGATACAACACATCACCATTTGGACAAGAAAATACTTCAGATTTTGGTTTTGTAATACTAAACTGCAGAACAAGAACCACCTCTGGCTGCATACATTGTTCTTTATCTCTTCCAGACAGAAAGGTCTAAACCAGAACTTTGTTCTCTGCTCGTAACAAAGTTGTTCTCTTTCCAGAGGATTTATTCCATCCACTTTGACTTACAACAGTCAATGCATTTTAACAAGGGTAAACTGTTTCTTGTATGTGGGAACTTGCCAAACATGTTAGATTTTAAAAAAACCCCATAATTATTTGAGGGCTCACTGAAACATAAGACCTGGCACAATAGAGATGCTGAATTTTGCTTAAAAAGCACAACTCAGAAAACCAAATTTTTTTTAGGTATTAAAATTTTAAATGCAGAGTTACTTATACTGGGAATCGATGCAGTTCTTCATGCCTCCTCTTTAGTGATCTTTATCTTTACTAAAGTGTTAATTTGAAGGACTCCTTTTTTTCAAACGGTCAACTACCTTAGAAGCATATACAAAAGCACAGTACTAATTTTTGCACTCTCAAAAGAGCTGTACAATAAGAGATAACAGAGACTGTTCAATCTAGCATATGCAAAAACTATTACACAGCTTGTTTGAACATCCCAAAGTCCTTTATGGGTAAACACACACAAAGGCCATAGGCATGTCTTTAGTTAAGAACCTTGCCCGTCAGAACAAAACACCACTCACTCTTAGTTTCCCTATAAGAAGGATAGCTGTCAAGGAGAGCTTAATGATTGCTCTGAGATCCACATATTAACAGAACATCTTGTGCTTGGTGAGTCTGCACAAACAGGCTAAATACTTATTTCTTTGTCTCTGTTTTCACTTTTTGTTTAATTGTATAAACCACCATTCGTCCATTAGCAGCCCTCCCCACCTACAGGTACATTCATTGGCTGTTCCCTCCACTACACTACTTAAGAATCTACAGCACAAGCTAGATCAGGGTATTGCTTGATGAGAACTCATGCAGCTCAGGAGAAGAAGCCAGAAGAGCACCTCTTGATTTATGCTAAGTCATATGGAAGAACTTTGATAAGATAGATGAAAGACAAAAAGCTTCACAGAAAACTTAGAACTTTTCAGATAATGAGATGGTCTCAAATCTTCAAGTAACTTAAAAAGTTACTAATATAAACACAGGCAATTATGATCAGAACGCACAAGCCCTTTGCAACAATAAAAAGCAATTTTTAGCCTCTCAAAAGTGGCAGCTTAGAAGGGGACCCTTTTCACAGATTCTTCAGTGAATTACTAAAGAGTAATACCACTTAACATTTCTACATCTTGACCTTAAAGTCATGATGAGTTGAAACAAGTGAAGAAAATTAAGATGGTTATTAAAAAAGTCATACGAATTTTAGGGAAAAGAATTGTGTTTCAGCCCTGCGACTGCTGCTGCAGAAGTTAATTTGCAGAAGCTTTCAGCAAGAAAGAAGAGGCACCCGAAGCAGAATTGCCTATTCCAGGTAAGTAGTGAGAAGACAACTGAAAAACTGCAGACAGTTGAACAAGAAACAGGTATTTGTAGAAGCATGAAAGAGCTTAATAGTGCTGGTGATCACAGGAAAAAGGACAGAAGCAACAAAGTGCAAATTATATATGGAATGTAAGTATTTGTAGGAACACTAAAAATGTAT